CATGGCAATGAGACGATGTACGATAGAATGGATGTAAAACTAATGTTCTCCCATGTAAACTATCATATAATTCACAAGAAAACACACAAAAAAAGTGCGTGGCAGTGAAGGCAAGGGTGTGGGGCTCTAACAGCATAGCAGGAAATAGTAACCATCTTTGTGCCAGGGTCTTTATTCTGGCTGCTATGCCAGTTTCAGAACCTGCACACAAAATAGCCCCCCACTAGACACACTGTATCACTGTCAACTTCCATGTTTCCACTCTGGGGCCTGCAGGGGGAAGCATGCTAGTATTTTTGTAACTTCCTGTGTATCTCTAATTAATTCAAAATAGAGGCTTTTAAAAAGTAGTTAATAAAATATAAAATGCAAAAAGCCCATACCGTAAGAAGAGACTGATAAATCTGAATGTGTAAAAGTAGTTTAAAAACTGATTGGGATAAAGCACATCCGTAAGCCAGAGAAACTGCTGCTCTTACCACAAAGAGCAGGTTTTCTTAACATACAGAGAACCTATAAAGCATTAAGAAAAGATGATCAAATCAACAGAAAAACGAACAATGGAAATAACCAGAGAATTCAGAGAAAAAGAAATACAAATGACTCTCAAATGAAAATCTGATCGTGTTTACTCTTAAGAAAAGTTCAAATTTAAATACAAGTTCAAAATCCAAAATATAAAATAAAAATTTTGGCCAATCAGATTGGCAATAAACAAGAACACTGACGGCACACTGAGGGTACAGGTCAGCGGGCCCGCTTGTTCACTGGTGGTGGTGGTGCTGTGCCGTGGAGTCGGTTCCGACCCATAGCGACCCTGTACAGGGTCTCCGAGGCTGTCAATCTTTACGGGAGCAGAAAGCCTCCTCTTTCTCCCACCTTGACTGGTGTGGCGCTGTAGGATAAGCTCTCTACCATAAGGGTGGTTTGAACCGCAAGCTTGGCCGTTGAAACTCACCAATCGCTCCCTGGAAACCCTATACAGGGTCGCTAGGATTCGGAATCGACTCAACGGCACTTAACATTTTTAAAAACTACCCTTGAGTTGACTTAAAGATAAATTTTATCCATAAGAACAGTAAGCGCTTAAAAAAAAAAAAGGCTGCACCATTCACTAGTTATAGCTGAGGCATAGATTCCAGATCATTCGATGATATTTTCTTGTTGGTCTAGTTACTACGGAATGTTGTATTCAGCTCTCAGCCTGGCAGTTTTTGAGGGGTAGTGAGCAGTGAGAGATCTAGGAGTTCATGCAGGATGTGATGCTGTAGGATAAAGCACTGGACTGCTAACTGCAAGGGCAGCGGTTCAAACCCACCAGCTGCTGCTTGGGAGCCCTAATCCGAACTGACTCAACAACACTTAACAACAACAACAACAGTGAATTGGAAGTAGGAAGGAAAGTGAAGCGGACTCAATGGGATCTGACCCTGGGCTCTTTTATCCTTTAGGAGCAGGGAGGGATGTTAGAAAAGTCCAATTCTCCAATAAAAGCCAGTCCCAAGGAGACAAGAAGAGAAAGCGGGATTAACCAGAGCACCAGGTCCAAGGGCTAAATCGGAAAACAAGGGCACAGTCAGCAGCAGGGGAAGTGGAGCAAGTGTTTGATGCCTGATGACCCGGAAGCCCCAGAGCACGGAAGGATATCTCTGCCTCTGTAGAGGCCGCAGACAGCTGTTCTGGAGAAATCTCCACTCGGTCCTTCCTCTTATCGGAACGTCGCAAGATGATGACAGAATGAATGTGAATAATCTTCCCAGTGTCAACCTGAAAGAAAACGCATAGAAATGGTCACCTCCATCTCTCACCAACAACATCTCCCCTCAACTACAGAATGGTGTCGTAATATATTAGCAGGTTAAAGATTCCAGTGACATTGCCCCGATTAATGAAATGTTTCAAATAAAGGACATCCAACATCAACATACACTTTTTTGGAATGGAAAAAACAAAGGCTAACATTTACATCATAGAGGGATTTCTTCATCCATAACTATGTATAAACGCATAGGAATGCAGATATATGCTAACATAAAAAAAAAAGCTATGAAAACAATGTAGTCATTAAATGTTCTAGGAACACAGAGAAAAGACACAGAAAACCAAAATCTTCAGAGATTAGCTTTCCTTCCCGATCTAAACACAGATCGGGCCAGGAAGGAGCCACGAACAGCTCAGTTTTCAGATGACTTGAAGGGAGATTAAGAAGATCTGTGGGCCAAGAACCATGCCTAGATTTAGAAGGGGCTTGAATGCAAGGGCCCAGTGAGGACAATAGAAAAACCAAATCCAGGACATCAGTTTGAGGGGAAAACAAGGCATTGCCGTTGACAAAAGCTTTCAGGAACAAAGGGTGAGATCTAAAGGAACCTTTGACATAAGTGACAGAGCTGCACTGGCCGATCGATGGCAGTCACTGGCCAGGGCTGGTTACTGATCCCTTTAAAGGTGGAGAGTCTGACCGGAAATTCTGTGCAGTCAGTGCAAACACACACACACTGGATTTGGAAGGCTGAAAGCCAAAAAGACACCAAACAGAAAACATGTGGACATCTGTTAATATGAACTCTATGTTGGTGAGCTCTTTGGTGATGGTGGCCGTGTGCCGTGGAGTCGGCTCCGACCCACAGTGACCCCGTATAGGGTTTCCAAGGCTGTAAATCTTTACGGGAACAGAAAGTCTCACCTTTCTCGCGCGGAACGGCTGGTAGTTTCAGACTGCTAACTCTGAGGTGCTAACTCTGAGGTTCGCAGGCTGACTCATAACCAGGATGCTACCAGAGCTCCTGATAAGTTCTAATACCAATTATTCATTTTATCAACTACAGCTGCTATCCCCACCCCTCACCCCCACCCCCAGTACTTGATCACTGTGAGTCAGCACTTCTGTCACGTCCTCCTTACTGTGGTCATCTGCCTGTTGCTGGAGCCTTCGACTGTCCTTAAAAAGAGTCTACAAGGTTCACGTGTTACGAACAGCCCTGGTAGTTCTGTGGGTCAAGTGTTGGTCTGCTAACAGAAAGGTGAAGGAGAAGATGGGATAGTGTGCTCTCGTAGAGACGACAGAACGGGAAATCTTATGTGACCACTCTGCGAAGCCCCACAGTCCTGGTGTGGCACTGTGGGCTAAGCACTGGATGATGGCAGTTCAAGCTCACCAGCTGCTCCTTGGAAACCCTATATAGGGTCAGTCGGACTCAGAACCGACTCAACAGCTTCTAACAACCACCACCACAACAACTGTGTCCTGGAGGGTCACTGGAGGTGTAGCCAGATTGACGGCAGTGAGGTTTTGGAATGTGGTTATTTTCCTCGGGAGCAGGCTCATAACCTGTACTAAAAAGCGCAGTTCACGCAGGTCCAAATCACCTGTAGTGGACACTGTCGTGCACACACGTACCTTTTCCCCAACGGTCCGCATCTCAGTGCCAGCACACGCACATTTGGAGTCACTCCTGTTGGCGACACATGAGAATTAAAGTTGGAATTGGTTTTGGGAAGATTGATCAACAGAGAGTAAAGCAACGTAATAGGCTTAGCGCTTCTGGGTGTGCAGTGTTAGCAGCCACAAAGGGAAATGAGGCACGTGAACTGCCATCAGACGCCTGTTAGCAATGTGGGACAGAAGTAAACCCGAGAAACGGCGGGTACTAAGGAGGCCAGCTGGAGGACAGGCGTGGTCCCCTTTGTGGTTATGAGTTGGATTGCTAACTTCCAGGTCAGTAGTTCGAAACGACCAGCTGCTCTGTGGGAGACAGATTCATAGCCTAGAAAACTGTGTACAGGGTTACTGTGAGTAGGAACTGAGTGGATGGCGTTAAGATTAGAAAATTGGCTTACCTTGTGTCATCATTCAACTAGAGAGGGAAAAAACAGAAAACATTATTGAGCATGTGATGGTTCGGGGCTGCAATCTAACTTCCTCCGTTACAAAACCCATGCTCAGTTTCCTCCCCCCCTCGGTGCGACTTCACGTATCCTCTCAGATTCCTCGAGATTCTTACAAAGCAGCTTTTCCCGATACACAGACTCCCCTAGAGTGTAAGAAAGTCGACATTACTCTGCACTTGGTTTTAGACCTCAGTGCCTTTCGGGCCTGACTAGGTCCAGGTTCCGAATAGCCATAGGCGGTAACAGACACACCAAGGACCACGAGAGCTTAGACAGATCGCTGGGGGGCTCTGAGAAAGTAAACAGGCGTCGGCAGGTCGGCGGCAAAGGACCACTAAAATGATCAGTCCACGAATTGATGTTGGGGGGCCCTGTGGCCCCCCGCAGCCCCCACCTTCAGCGGGGCTGCAGCCGGGCTAGCAGGTTCCCCCACTCACCTCTCCGATACACAGCCCCATGACCTCCTCCTTTTCCGTGCTCAGGGCATGGTTGAGACAAACGAAGAAAGCGTCAGACTCCAGGTGAACCGCCTGCACCACCGGCATCGCCATCTTGGTCCGGCCCTGCTCACATCCGCCTGGGGCCCACTCGGGCCTGGCCAACCCTGGTCGGCGCCGCCTCCTCGCCGCTGGGCTCGGCGGGCGGCTCCTGGGGGC